AAAAAAAAAAAAAAAAAAAGGAAAAGGTTTATGTTGGCTTATGGGTTCAGAGGTTTCAGTACATGGTTGGCTGGGTCCAGCAGGAACATTGTTGTGGAAAGGCGTGGTAGAGGACAGCTGCTTACCTCATGACAGCCAGGCAGCAGAACATAAGAAGAAGGGGTCAGGGACCAGGCACAGCCCCCAAGGTCACACCTGTGACACACCAAGATATACACAGCACACAGTGTGCTTTCCTAAATCTAATCGCCTAGGTGTCTGTCAAGCCAACCACATTGACAACCAAGATTAACCATCACAGACACTTCTTGAAACCTCCAGGCCCGGGTGTCTGCATCAGCCCTACAGAGCTTTCCAGGCAGATCATCTTGGCTGGAGGCTGTCCTGCACATTGTAGGGTGTTTTGCAACATTCCTGTCCCTTCCCCACCAGATGCTGGTAGCATCTCTGTTGTGACAACAGCAACAACAAAGTCTCTGGGCATTGACTCCTGGACTTTTGACCCTTAGGGGTTAAGATTATCTCCCCATCTTCTCCCCACCAATTGATAACCACTGCTGTAGACTAATGTTTTCACCTCACTCTGCATTTCCCTTTGGTAACACTTATACCCTGGTTCTCTTAGGGCTTGTTTAATGTCCTTCTCCATCCCAGGACAGAGTAGTACAGGACAGAGTAGTACATTTAAGGCATTAAAAAGCCAGTGAAGGGATGAACTGATTTGAACAGGAGCTGTGTTGCTCTCAGAGTTGTCCACAGACAGCATTCCCCAAAAGCTCTTAAATTTCCTACCACAAAAGGGGTTCAAGCTAGGGGAATGGTCACCTATGGAGGATGTCACAGAGGAGATTTCAGCCTGAGTCGGTGATCTTGAAAGTCCCTTCAGTTATGAGATTGCTAGGAATTTGGGCTCCCGGCCAACCACCCCAAGGCTAACTAATTAAATCACACAGAAGGGGCCCACTGCTCCCTCTGTGATGCAATCAGGTGCTAAATGTCTCAGGGAAGGGGCCGATGTCACGTGGGGAGTGACCTTCAAGTGGATCAAGAGTCACATGAATATGGAATGCCTCTCTCCCTTCCCAAGAGGTCACTTGACCCATTTCCTAAGGGGTAGGATCATGCATGAAAGGTTTGGAAAGCAACTTCTTCTTATTCCTAGCCTGCTCTCTCATGGGCAGAGTGCACAGCTGTCTGAGGTGCAAAGTGAGGGGCGAAACCTGGCACTCTGTTCAGGTGCCGTGGGGGATGCCCGGGCAGCATTC